GGGCGACTGGCCGCTTGGGGGTCGGACATGCCCATCTGGGCTCGGCTCTGTCTCTCCCTCTCCAACCTCCTCCTGGTAGGATGAAATGCCTACAACCTGACACCCACCAAATCTTTAAGCGGTTTCTACAAGCTCCGGTCGGCTTAATCAACAGTTATTATTGTACGGAACAGGTGCACGGGACCTTAATCTGACACACAGGACCTGCCTCCTCCATCTCCCACAAACACCACCCTGCTTGGCTTGAATGCCTCCAGGAACAGGGAACTCACTCCTCCTTTCCTGTCCCCAGCTGCCAAAGGCCCAACTGGACCGGGTCCCTGGAGCCTCTAAGAATTTTCTGGGCAGACAAACTTGCCCCTGGTCAGGGCTTGGGGGTGAGAAGAGGATGACCCCCGCCCACTCTCTGTCCTAGAGCCAGAGCGCTCAGGCCTGGCAATGTTTCCCGTGCCCCAGCTCCTGGATGCCCACCCTGGCCAGAGGCCTGCTGAATTCTCTTAGTCTAGCAGCTACGCTATCACACCTGAGACAAGACACGAAAATCTCACAGCGTGAGGGGCCCGCCATCCGCTCATGAGCCGCCCTGGGCCACAAGTGTGTTTTGTTTTACCTGGACAGGGGGGTTAAAAAAAATGTCGACGTAGGTGCCCACGTTTTAAAAATCACGAATTTTTACGCAGGTATCTGCTACGTTATCTTGTTATCTCTTGTTATCGCAGAAGGCCTGGCGATATTGGGTCTCTTGTTTGGTCTCCCCCCACTTCTCCGCAGACCACACCCTTCCCCGTTGTCTCTCCTGGACCACGCTGTCCAGGATGCTGCCTTCCCCGCTTAAGGGAAACAAAGCTCTTTGTGGCGGGGCTCGGGAACGTGGCGTCTTAAAAACCTCTCCGGTATGATCCTGGCCGGGTTTGGGCCTCGCTGAGCTTGCAACACCTGGGGGTGGAGGTGGGGGCTCTGTTTCTACTCCAAGGACAGCAACGGGATGGTCACATTTCTTCTCAACTCCAGATGTCGCCCCAGATTTGCCACACAGTTAGAGTCGGCGGCGCCCCTGCTCCACACCTGAGTTTCCCCAACTGTGGAAGGAGAAAACAGCTCCCATCCCCTTCCTGCCTGCCAGGAACGTGAGTAAATAAGGAAGCGGGACCCCCGCCACCCCCACCCCCGCCTCCTCTCTATCCCAGACCCAGGGTGGGCAGGACCGGCAAGGCTTACTTTGCCAGGGTCCGCGGGGAGGCAGGGCCAGTGGGGGCAGAGGTTTCAAGGTGCTGGATCCTGTTTGGGGTGGGGGTGTAGTGACCCCTGATCTGTACCCTTTCCTCATTCCCCAGGGGCTTCCTCCAGCTGCTTTGTCCCCCTCCCGCCACCCCCAGCAGCCAGGTGCCTCTGCACTCCCCCCAACCCCCAATCTGGGTCCCCCTTGAAGGTGCAAATAGCTGACAATCGTGGCAGGGCGGGAGCAACCACAGTACCAGAGACCTTTGGATTTGGGAGAGGGGGGCCAGTGAGATGGCCCTGTATAGAGACGGACTTGAGCTTGGACACGCTTGCCTTGGCTCTTGGGTGTCTGGTGTTTAGTTTAACTGTGTGATCTCCTTATGTTCCCTGACCTCAGCCTCCTCAGGTGAAAACACGAGGTAGAGGGGAGCACGGTCTCTGTAGGGAAAGCTCCACGAGGTGGAGATCAGGTCCGGCTTGCTCAGTGCCGGATTCTCGGCTTGGGGAATCTTAGCGATGCAATAACCATTGGGGAATCAGACGACTGTTAATTAAATAAGAAAATGCGCCCGAAGCCCTTAGCTCCGCGAGCCTCCGCCAATGAGACTGCAGCAAATGCTCAATAAATACCAGCTACTATTGTTGGCAGGCCACGGGGGGCGGGGGAGGCCCTCTGGGCCACGAAACTCTCAGGGAATCCCAGAACGGGTTCAGTGTGAGATCCCAGAGCCTGAGAGCCCTCGGGCAGTCCCCAGGTGCCCACTCAGGAACATCAAGGCCATCATCTGGGCGTCTCCCCGGGCCTGTCTGGCTTCCCGGCCACAGCTGGGGTTTCCCACCAGGAATTCAAAAAGCGCAGAGGAAGTCGCAGCCCTTTGCCGAACCATCTGACCAGACCTAATTAATCGATGAGCCAAGCTGTCGCTTTCCTGCCAAACAGCCGCCTGAAGAGTGCTTACTTTATCTGTGAATTGATCGCCGTCCTGTTGCCACCACTATGCCTGATCCCCGCCGCCTGCGGAGGCTGAGTGCCAAGGGGAGACGGGAGCTGCCGAGCAGGGGCCGGCCTGCCATCTGGCCAGGGAGACGCGGTCTCCAGGCGTCCCAGTCCTCAGGCTGCAGATGGGAAACTGAGGCCCAGAGACGGGTGCGGAGGGACAGGGCCAGAACCCAGCCCGTCCGGCCCTGGATCCCCCAGTGAGGTGGAAGGAGGACCACTGACCAGACTCCTGAAGATGGGGGTCCCCTGCAGCAGCCCGAGGCAGATGAGAAAAGGGGCCACACCCCCCCAAAAGGTGTGGAGATCCGGTTTCCACCACGCTGCTGCTAAGCCAGCTGGGGCTGCTGGGTGGAGGGAGGGTCTCATACCAACCACTGCCTCCCCGGGGTGGCCTGAGGCCACCAGAGGCCCAGGACACGGATCAGAGAGCTGCATCCTCGACCCCCGGCCTCCACAACGGTGGCCCTAGATCAGGTGGCTTCGAGAGCATTCCGGAGTGAACGGAACCTGCCCCAAGCGGGGGAGGGTTAGAAGTCACGGGTGTCAGAACCACGGGCCCCTGTATGCGCACCTGCCGGCCTTGAACTGAACCGCCTAAACAACTGGTTGCCTTTGTCTCGGCCCCCCTGGAACACACACGCGTGGGCCAAGTAAGATGACGTGCACTCGCAGGCTGAAAACGAAAGCCCGCCCCTCCCAGGCCAGCCCCGCTCTGCAGGCAGGACCACAGTGATGTGTCAGCCCACGACGTTTCCAGCCCTGACCTGTACCCGTGAGGCTCTTCCCGGGCCCGGGCAGACTTCCGTCCGACGCCTACACCCAAGATGTAGAAATTCTGCACGCGGGTATAGTATACATTTTACAAAAAAGGGCTTATCCTGGACACAGCAGGCAACGAATTGCTTTTTCCTCTCATCAGTAACTCTGGGCTTGGGTGGTCTTTCCGGCCGTGGAAAGACGCCCCCAGCGTATGTCGCCAGGCCCATGCGGCCCAACCCGTGCTCCCGACTCCTGATTACACCCCACCGTTTAACTGTCTACCGTCACCACCCAGTGAGAAGGGCGTGATTGTTATCATCCCCATTCTACAGACGGGAAAACCGGGGCACGGAGAGGCCCTTGTCCAGAGTCTCCCGGCCAGTAGACAGAAGTGCTGGCAAAGCCAACCAGCCTGTCCGGCTCCACAGCCATCCTCCCAACTGTCACACCAGGGATTTGCACGCCCGAGCGCACCTCAGAATCCCCGGAGGGCTCGTGGAAACACAGAGTGCTGGGCCCGCCCCCGGAGTTTCTGATGCACGAGGTCAGGTGTGGGGCCCGAGAATTTGCATTTCTAGCAGGCTTCCGAGGGAATGCTGACGCTGCCAGGCCCCGGAGTCACGGCTGGAGAGCGCCACATGCTCCTGTCCCTTGTGACTGACCCCTTGCTTGTGCAGGGCCCGGGCTTCCCCGAGCCTCTCCCCCGAGTGCACACCAGGGAGTTACAGAGCTGGCTCAGGGACAGAGGACTTGCCCCTGCAGACCAGCGCATTATCTGTCGGGTGAACGAGTGGCCTGGACAGCAGGGGGACGTGTCCTCTGCCATCTTTTCTGGGGATCAGAGGCTGTTTTTACCTATGATGGTCTTTTGCCTCCGCCCAAAAGTGGCCTCAAACATCTCCTGCCCCAAAGCTCCGAGTCAAGGATTAACGCGGCCAGCGTGGGCTATCCACACCCCGCATATCCCCAAGAAAAGTCTGGCTCTTGATTTCTTGATTGGCTTCTGGGAGGCAGCCTCCGAGCCCTTGCGATGTCTTGCCTGGTAAGAGCGTCTTTGTGCACCCGGGGTTTCGGGACAGATCAGATCGTGGATGGCGATGATGTGATTGACGGCAGGGGGCTCTGGGTCAGGGGACGGGACACCAAGGTCAAACATACAGGCAGTCAGCCATGCCTACGTGATCCATTCCCAACACAAACCCCGGATGCCAAGGCTGGCGCAGGCCTCCCCGACTGCCACGCCTCCACACGTTATCGCGCATCATTGCCGTGAGCATCGAGTGCTGTCTGCAGGACCGCACCGGCTCGCACCAGTGTCCCCCGGGGCCCGCCCAGGCCACCTTTTTCTGTTGCTGATCTCAATCTCTTTTCAGTGTGATAAACTGTAATTGAGAGCGTAACAGTTTTGCCAGGTTCTGGGAGTCCTTCCAGCAAATCATTAGGCCTGAGGGTGGTCTCGGGGACCCCCAGACACAAGCACCAATTCACTGAGTTGCTGGACAATTACAGAGCACTCCCTGAGCGCATGGCTTTCACCCAAGCCCTGCCCACACTGCCCAGCTCCGCTGGTCTCCTCTAGGCCTTCCAGCCCTCCAGGCCCTAGGGGGGGCCTTTATCACCCACCATTCACCTCCCTCCATGGAAAAACCCGTGGGGCCACCACAATCGGCCTCGTGGATGAAACACTACATAACATCCTGAGAATCAGGTGACATCTCAGGAAGAAGGTAACATCCTGGGAACCAGGTGATATCTCAGGAATCACGTGACATCTCAGGAACCAGGTAACATCCTGGGAACCAGGTGATATCCTGGGTACTATCTAACCTCCCAGGAATCAGGCAACATCCCAGGCACCAGGTAACATCCCGGGAACTAGGTACTGTCCTGAGTACCAGCTCACATCACGGGAACCAGGTACCATCCCGGGAACCAGGTAACATCCTGAGCACCAGCTCACATCCCGGCGCGCCCCTCCCCGCCCCCGCCCCCCCACCCCCCACCGCCCGCCCAGGCTTACCTGCCAATGACCTCGATGTTGGAGATAGCATAGAAGTACTTGTAGAGGTTCTCCCGCTGCACGTAGGTGCCCCCCAGCGCCGGGCGCAGCAGCCTCATGCGCAGGTCCGTGAGGGTGAAGAAGTCCTTGAGGCCCTTGGCGCTCTCCAGGCGCGTGTAGAGGTTGCCCATGTTGCGCATGTCGGGGCCGGCGAAGATGGCCAGGCGGTCCCGCACCTCGAAGCGCACATGCTTCTCCTTCTTGGAGCCCGCCCAGCGCGAGTACTCCTCGGTGCACAGCACGCGGTGGGCGCCCGACGCCGGCAGGTCGCGGGCCCGGCGGGGGGCCATGCCGAAGGCCTCCGTGCAGTCCTCGGCGTAGAACTGGTAGGGGTGCCACGTGCGCCCGTTGTCCAGGGACTTCTCGAGGACCATGGCCGTGGGCCGGCCGTACTCGAAGGTCACCACCACGTCGTCCGTCAGCTCCACGCTCTTGTTCCACGAGAGGGTGATGTTGGCTTCCAGGGGGCTTGGGTAGCGGCTCCAGGGGACGCTCTGCCAGTACGTGGCCAGGCCCTCGTCCTCCCTGTCGAACATGAGCCGGGGCGGGTGGGCCAGGTCTGGGTTGGACGCGTCACACTCGTTGCTGCACAGGTAGGGGTTCTCCTGTAGGGGGAGGAGACAGCAGGGGTGGGCGTCGGCCGCTCGGAGGCCCCGGGGAGCCGCGGCCCGGCCTGGCCCCCCACCCCCGACCACCGCGTGCCCAGGTGTCGACCGGGAGGTCGGGGGGGCCCGTGGTCTGGTGTCCAGGCGCCGGGCGCCTCTCCTGGGCCGGCAAGCCGTGCCCGTTTCCCCAAGGCACATAAAGGCACGCAGGCCCACGGCTTCCCAAGGAAACACACACTCGCTCCTACTCCAAATACAGACCATCAAAGAGGGGGCGTGTGTGCGATCGGGGCTCCTCGTGGCCGGCGGGATGAAGTCCTACCTCTTCAACACAACTCTTCAGCACTCTCCTTCCACCGTGTACCTGGAGCCCGGTCTCCCCCTCCCGGGCTCCCGTCCTCCGCTCCCGCAGAGTCCGTGCCCCTGAGCCTTTGCAGACGATATTCCCTCTCCTCGACGTGCCCTCCCGCTCTCTGCCGGCCTTGAAAATTCCTACTCACGTTCTTAACCCTTTAAACATCTCCCACCCCAAGACGCCCTCCTGACCTACTTTAAACGGTACCGTCAGTAGCAACCCGAGGGGCTGCGGTAGAGAAACTCAAAGTCACGGCAAATATTGGTTGAACCGCCGCCCGGCGTCAGGCACGATGTCTCCGTTACAGACCTCATGCGGAGTCTGGGCGCGCCGGGAGGTTGCTGGGTGAGTCTCAAGAGGGTGCATCTTTGTGGCGGGTCACTTCTGGGGCCTTGGCACAGGCCTGGCGGGCTCAGTGGGGGGGGGGACGCTGGCTCGGTCCCCCCATATTCTCTGCCTCCTCCCCGCCTGCCCCCCAGGAGGCGGGCAGCCCGCTCCCAGCCATCGATGTGGCCCCTCAGCTGTCACAGATGCACCAGGCCAGTGCATACCCTAACAGTAGGGGAAACCGCTCATGGGGAGACAGAGGGTCCTGGAGACTCTCTCCACTGTGGGGCTCAGTTTTCTGTAGGCCCAAAACTATTCTAAAACATAGGCTATTAATTAAAAAAGAAAAAAAAAAAAAGCCGTCACAAAGAACCACAGTGCCCAGACCGCTCACGGCCCCTTTTGATGAATATTTCAGGTCTCTGGTTTGCTCAGAGACAAAAAAGCGTGGATGTGAGTTAAAGTCTCTCCCTCCAAAATGAGCCACCCGGCTCCCGCGGGGGAGTGGGCGCGTTGCCTCCTGAGAGGCCGGGCTGGTGCCCCGGCCAGCATCACCGCTGATGCCCTTTAGTGGGGGACGAGTTCCCAGGCCGCCCCGGGGTCCTGGGTGGGCAGGCTGGCCCCAGAGATTACTGCGGCAGGCTCCACGAAGCCTTGACCAAAATAGCTCTGTCCTTGGTCCCCCGTGGTGCCGCTGTCCATCTCACCTGGCCCGGGCCCGCTGATCCTCAGGATGCGCAAACCTCGGGATGGAAGGGGTAAGCCGCTGAGTCCAACTGCTCGCTCAGCAGACGGGAGAACAGGAGAACAGGAGGGACTGGCCCAGGTCCCCTTGACAGGGGGTCGCGTTTGAGGATGAGGCCTGCTCCTGTCCTAGACAACCTCAGGGGTGTCCTGAAACGCGGGTGACTTCGCAACATGGCAGGGACAGGCATCTGGCTCTGCTCGTGGGGGGTCCCAGCTCCCTTGAGCTCCAGCTCAGTGACCTTGGGCCGTTGCCCTGAATGGGAAGGGGGCTGAGAGGCTCCCTGGGGATGGCCCAGCGGCCTGCAGAGGCCAGGCCTGGTGGCAGGAGGGCAGCAGGCTGTGGGGGCTAGAGGAAACAAGCCCCCCCTGGGGGGACAGCCCCTGCCCCAGTCCCTCTGCCGGCCCCCAGCAGAATCCAGAGGCAGAATGCCGTTTGGGATGGAGACGCCCCAGAGCTCACACATGGACACTGGGGGCAAGAGGACCCTAGGTTGGCATTCCCCCCCCCCCCCCAGCAATCTCGCACTTCCCACCCCCAGTTCCCCTTCTACTGCTGCTGGCACCCTGCTAACGGCTAACTTGTGTCTCCCTCCAAATCCCTCCTAAACGTCAGGATCTCGGAATGTGACTGGTCGGAGATAGGGGCCTTTAAAGGGTGATTGAGTTAAAATGAGACCACTAAGGGGCGTCCGGGTGGCTCAGTCAGTTAAGCGTCCGACTCCTGCTCAGGTCATGATCTCACGGTTCGTGGGTTCGAGCCCCGTGTCGGGCCCTGCGCTGACCGCCCAGAGCCTGGAACCTGCTTCCGATTCTGTGTTCTCCTCTCTCTCTGCCCCTCCCCCACTCATGCGCGCGCTCTCTCTTTTTCTCTCTCAACAATAAATAAACATTAAAAAAAAAAAATGAGACCATGAGGATGGGTCCTGATCCAACACGACTGGTGTCCTTGTAACGAGAGGAAGTTTGGGTCCACAGAGAGACACCGGAGGCGAGTGCGCACAGAGGGGAAAACCACGTGGAGAAGAAGGAAGAGGGTGGTCATCTGCAGGCCAAGGAGAGAGGCCGCAGAAGAAACGAGACCTGCCCGGGGCTTCAAGGGTCAACACGAACTTTGATCTTAGACTTCGGACCTCCAGAGGCATGAACAAATACATTTCTGTGGTTTAAGCCACCCGGGACCTAGCTCATCCCCAAGTTGGGGACAAAGGGAAGGTTAGGGTGGGAGCAACAGTTCAGAGGGGCAGGACTAAATTGTGAGTTTTTTATGATTTCCCCAGAAGCTCGCTCTGGGGCTCTCTCTCTGCAAGCCTGGTCTCCAGCACGCCGTCACCAGGTGACATCATACTTCGCGCGCATCCGGATAACTCCCATCGATCCAGCACCGAAGGCTGTGCCTTTTCCCTGGTTGCCTCATCTCCTCTCCCCTCTGAGTCTGTGCTCCTGTGGCCACTCTCCCTCCTCGGGGTTTTCAGAGCCCTACCCCCATGCACCTCCTCCAGGAAGCCCTCCTTGCCTGACTCAATATTTAAACCCAGTTCCTTTGTCATCCATCCTGGGTTATCAGGGTGTTCATCTGGGACAGCGTGGGAAAGCCTCTGTATAGGGCCTGGACCTCAGTAGCCGGTCACTAAATTAGAGTTATTACGGTCATCATATTAATCAGTTATTCACATAACGACGCTTCGGTTAATATTCCTCTATCTCCGGTCGGATGTCGATATTATTCCTGTCAACCCTCCTAACTGCTGTGACTCACCCACACTTCACCTTTGCCCGGTTTTTCTCCACCCCCCTGCCTTACCTCCCCTGCCCAGCCTCTTGGGGGACCCCACGGGGGGACATTGGATCCCGCACGACCCCCGGCTGCGTCAGCCTGTCTGTTACCAGGAAGACTGACACGGCCCGCTCTGCCAGGGGACAGGGGGGCTCCAGCTCGGCTGCCGACACCATGTGGCCTTCACCTGCAGTGCCCTCTGGCCCCCCGCCCCCCCGGCCCGGGAAGCAGATGGTCAGAAACTAATGAATCAGCCTGTGCATTTACCAGCCCCGCGCCTGCTGCTGAACGGGCTTAATCAACAGCGAGCACGATAAATAAATCCCAAGCCATCGCCAGCACAAGTCTCTCTGCCTCTCTCCCATTTCGCTTCTTCCTTCCGCCGCCCTGCCCTCGCACCCCAAGATCTTTGAATTCCATTTAACCACTTAGGGGTGCGGGGCGTGTCCCCTGCTGAAGGCGATGTCCACGCGGGACCAGCCGTCCGTCCCAGAGGGCGAGGCTCTCGCCCTCGCGTTCCTTCTGTCCTCCCTAGGAAGGGTCCCAAGGAGGAGCCTGGGGTGAGGGGCCCAGTTTACCCCAAGCCCCCCACCCCCACCCCGTCCCAAGGGCTGTGCTTCAGCTCATCACAGCAGGTGCGAGGGAGGGGCTGGGCTGGAGGGTCGGCGGCTCCTTCCTCAGTCTGCACATTTCCACCCGTCTCTGTGAGATCAGGCTGATAATGAAACAAACAGTCCAAATAATGCCTAGTGTCTAATACCTGGCCTCACACCAGAGAGAAAGTTAGGGGGTGTTTGAGGCACGCCTTTAACCTTTTAGCATGATACCAAAGCCAACACCTGATATTATCAAAAACAGTGATTAGTTGTTTAGACCTTTTATGAATAGCACCAAAAAAAAAAAAAAGTAAAGAGATAAGAATCATGTCCCTAATTAAAAGCTTTGAAACTTTCTCCCAAAAAAAAAAAAAAAAAAAAAAAGTCACACACCACATTTTTGCATCAAATCCTGGGGATTAATGGGGTCCCATCTCCCCATTTAGGAGCCCCGGTTCTGGAGTCTGGAGCAGTTAAGGAAACTGGCTTGGAGCTCCACAAGTCCTGGGTCTAATCTCAGCTCTATCCCTTGAGGCTGTGTGCCCTCGAGAAACTTGCTTTACCTCTCTGAATGTTTCGTTTCTCATCCAACCTGTGAGATAACGCGCGTGAAATACCTAGAAAACGTCTCCAAGCGGCAGCAACGATTATTCAACAGCAGCCCCAGACACACTCGCTCAGGGGCTTTCCTTGCAACCTTCCTGGGGAAGAAGTAAGGCTGAGGGCAACCGGCTCATTAACAGTAAAATCAGAGCCTCACATGAGCCGCCGGCTGCCTTGGGGACCGCGGGCTCGGGAGAGCCTAACGATCCCGCCGTTCACCGAGTGCTAACTGTGTGCCAGGGCTGGGCACCCATTCCACGTGGCAGACTCCCAGCATCCCCCCGGGGCGGTCAGTGCTCCCGAGGACGTGCCACCCCCCACGTCACTTCCTCTGAGCACAGCGGGATCCAGCCAAGGAAATCTTGGGGAAGCCCAGCCCGTCCTACCTGCCTGGCTGCAGGCTCTCCCATCTCCAGACACACCCAGGAGGGGTGGGGGTGGCGGGGAGGGGCAGGGGCGCAGGGCGAGGGGAAGGCAGCCAGCTAGGACGACAGCACCAGAGAATGGGGTGGGAACAAAGCGACAGACACACCGAGCAGGAGTCGCTTGGGAAGAAGTATCCTACGGAGAAACCATTTCGTACCACGATTTTCAAACC